TGCAGAACTTTGCGGCAACAGCAGACCTATGGTCAAGCCGAACTATGGAGCCGTATTTAAGCTTGACAGTGCATTTCATAACAAGTGACTTCAACATGAAAAGCCGCTGTCTACAGACGGCGTTCTTCCCTGCTGATCACACTGGTGAGGAACTGGCACAGGGACTAAAGAAGAGTCTCAACTCCTGGAGTTTGGAGGAGGAAAAAATGGTGTGCATCACCACAGACAGTGGAGCAAACATTGTAAAAGCAGCCTCCCTGAACAACTGGACAAGGCTTCAATGTTTTGGCCATAAGCTACATCTGGCTATAGGTGAGCTGTGTATTAAACACCCAGTAACATTTTCATATTTTAATTTAAATCAGAAAAATGTGTTCTTATGATTTTTTTTTTTTTTTTTATTAAATAATTGACCTATGACAGAAAACAGAATACAATAACACAACACATAAGGTACAGGTACTATAAAAAAAGGGCTGCACGATTAATCAAATGCGATTGTCATTTTGTCAGTAAAGCAGTTTCTGTAATCAGCAGTAAATCTCCATCACCTGCTTTCAGATGGAGCAGCATTTAATACACAGAGCTGTAGTTCACTGACAAGATGCGCATGATAATTGCAGCATTTGCCTAATAGCGATTTCATTTCGATTTATCGTGCAGCCCTAAATATACATATATTAACCAGACATAAGCAGAAAAAATAAAAGTATAAATGGGGCCATTTTTACTCTGAGGCTTAAATGAACATTGATGATTGTATTGTACGTTTCTACATTTTAATCTGTGCCTTTTCAACCAATTACTTTTATTTAACATTTAGATAAAAAATAATAATTAATTTAAGTATAAGCACACACAATTAAGTTTATCCTGCTTTATGTTTGTCCCATTATATTGCATTTTTAATAGCTATTTTAACATTTTATTTATTTATTTAGTCATTTAGCAGACGCTTTTATCCAAAGCGACTTACAAATGAGGACAATAAAAGCAGTCAAAACTAAATATACACACATAGGCCAGTCGCAATAATCAATATATCGACTTATCACGCAATATATATACATGACCTCAATAATTTTTGTTGACGCAATATATCGCCCAATATATTCACTTAAAAATTAATGTCACCATGTTTTGTACATTCCACTTGTGCTTGTGTCTTTTGCAGCTTCTTGTACATAACGTGGTGTAGTCATGAAGTGCTAGTTCAAATTTAAAAAATGATTCAACAAAAAAAGTTTCATCTGCAGATATGGTCTTGTTTACATGTCACATGTCACATGTCTGTGTCTTTGTGCATACGGACATCTGACTGCTAAGTAGTGATTGTTTTTTTCAGAAATAGT